TGGCACGTCATCCACTGGACGAAGACTGCGGGGTTAGCAGCTCTTCGTCGGATGTTGTCGATATGATCGGAGCTCCAAAGGAGCAAACAGTGAGGGTGACAGACGCGGAGTGCGTGTTCACCCTGGTCTCACCGAGACATAAAACCTCTGTACAGAGGCGACGGCGACGCCGTATGCGGGCTGCAAGTCGCCTGGCGTCGAACCTAATCCAGAGTGTGTCTACCGTAGACGACGGTGCACAGTTATACACCCTCGTCAACGGTATGACGAAGGAGGTAGATGGCAACGTCCGCCTCGAGGCTATGCCTGCATTAGATGCTCTTCTTGAGCTGGACGAGATGTCCCTTTACGAGTTCGGCAGTGCCTTGAAGGCAGACGATTTGGCCGAAGTGGTCATTGTACGACCGGACGAGGAGATAAACTCTTTATCGCTTCTAGATGAAGCTGTCTTGGAGGACTCCAAGAGAGTACAGAACACACGAAGTGGATTGTCGATCGTACGAAATCCCTTGGATCCGTACTATCCTTTGGTAAAGGAGTTTCAAGACGTCGTCTCCAAAGACCCGCCTTCGGTCCTACCCCCGCACCGAGGTGTTCATCATGAGATCGACTGGTTCCTGGAAACAAATACTGTGTAACACGCCAATGGCCCCTGCCCAAGAAGCAGTGCGACGTCATTGACGCTTTTTTCCGTGCGAAGCACGACGCAGGGATGGTGCGTGAGAGCAAGTCTCCCCATTTAGCACCCACGTTTTGTGTTCGGAAGCCGAACGTCAAGTGGCGTATCGTTCATGCTTTCAATAAGCTAAACGCTGCCATCATTCCGGCACAAACGCCAATTCCTAGAAAGGATGTTCTTCAGAACAACATGTTGGGATGTACGAAGTACAGTGCACTTGATTTGGTCGATGGGTATTAACAATTGCTCATGAGAGCGAGTGACGTTCCGCTGACAGCGGTTAGCACCTCGAGCGGCATGCTCTGGGAGTGGCTGGTGATGCCCCAAGGGCTGTCAAATGCACCGGCAATATTTAATTGTCTTGTGACGCAATTGGTCAAGCCCCACAGGGCGTATGCACAGACATACTTTGACGACATTTTCGTTCACAGTCGTGCGGAGCACGGGAGGAGGATGAGGAGAACACATCGTTCATCTAAGAGCGGTGCTCGAGTGCATGCGCACTGACAAACTGTACGCCAATGT